CAGGAATTGCCTGGCTGTTCTGTAGGTCCACGGGTTTTAATTTTCACTCCTGACGTCACAAATTAAATGCTTGTTTCAGGTCAGTGACTAAAAGTATTGAAGTTGGAGGAGACCGGCAGACAACCCAACAATGGCAGACTCCATGTTTCTCTCAGTGCTGTGGTGCAAGAGAAAGGGCATGACTAAGCTTGAGGGAAGAAACTGAGTAACCTAGGCTTGGCTGTTTCCAGGCTGTTAGCCATCAATTAAATAAAAGTTGTAAGTTTAAAGCTTAAGTGATCACGTTTATTGACCAACTTTAGTTAAGGTGCATGATTTTCAAAATGGTTGCGAAAGCTTGCATCTTACAATGAACTTCAGTGTTCGCTTCCAATTTTTTTTTTTTTTTAAATATACCATTGAAAGAGTCATATCTGTTCAGTAAGTGCATACAAATATCTGTTGATTGAGAACTCATATGGAGGTATAGCATTTTTGACCTAGCACAAGACTACAGAACACTTCAACTTGTGTTATGGAGAAGAGGGGGTGGTGTCCTGTAGTTCTGTTGTAGGGTGCCAGTGCTGTTTCTTTATAGATATGTATAGTGAGTGTGTTACTGGCAAGATAACCAGGTTAAAAAAAATTCAAATAGTTTTAAATTGAGAAGCTTTAGAAATCTCTAAAAATGGTTAATGATTTTACAGTAGGAGAACGAGAACACGTAGTACAGATTAGCAGCTCTTTATTGTATTATATTATTATACTTGACTTGTCCCGGAAGCATATACTTTGACAGTGGGTTGTAGGGCATTGTTGTAACATTTCTATGCTAGGAGGAATGGTAACGATGCCCATCTGTCCTGCAAACGTCAGAAGCTAGGCAAAGGTAAGTGTGTTTTTTTTTTTTTTTTTTTTATTTTATTGGGAATCCTCTTTGTTGCCCAACCAGACTCGGCTCTCTTGCTGTCCTGACACCAAAGGGCCCTCTCACATCCCAGGAGTGTTAGGGAATGGAGAACACCAAGAAAGCAAGGAATAAGCTAAATAATGCACATATTAATCATCCTTTGGACAAAATTAGTGTTTAGCTTGAGGCGTATGGGGGGACCCCACTGCAAGGGATATTTTTTTTTTCTTGAGCTTGGCTTTACATTATAAAAATAGCAAGTAGGCTCTTTTTTTTTTTTTCAAAATAAATATTGATAAATTCCAATGGATCAGAGTTTGTGTTTTCTCTCCAGTTGCTGATCCCAGCAGCTGACATTCACACCCAGTACTCTTGACATACATTCCTCTTCACGCGGAAGCCAGATCTCAGACATCATTTTTTCTATTCACTGTGAAATGTGACAGATGTGTTTTCAATCCGTACACCCAACTTCCCATGCCTGTGCTCACATGTATAAGCTGTGATTTCCAGAATGAGTGAGACCATTGTAATCCAGTGTATATTGACCTGGACGGGGGCCAGGTATTCACCAGTGTGACGGCTCAGTGTTTTGTCTCTATTCTCTCTCCCAATAGACAGTGCTGGTAGAGTGCAGGACTCAGAAACTGGTTCCCCGTAGTAGAGAGTAACGCAGAGATACCTTTCAGGGGAAGAACTAAAATCCCAACCATAACACCTCCCACACTCCAAAGAATTGCTGGTAGGGTTAATGGATCCTGTCTAAATTGGCCCTAGTATGTATATGTATGAATGTAAGTTATGGACCTTAGATTGTATGCCCCATGTGGGTTGGGGACTGATGTGAATGTACAATATATATATATATATATATATATATATATATATATATATATATATATATATATATATATATATATATATATATATATATATATATATATATATATATATATATATATATATATATATAATGAAGCGCTGCAAAAAATTGATGGCGCTATTTAAGTACTATTAATAGTAATAATATTAATAAGTAGTATTAATAATAATAAATAAAAAAATACACAACAGGTAGCTGCAATAAATGAAGTCAACACTATAGTCATGCAGTTAATACTTTTTGTCCTATGTTTATTACAGTGAGGGAGCAGCTATTAGACAGTGGAGAGCCTAACGGCATACAAATGTGTCTGTGGTCACCCCTCCTTTTATATCATATGAATAGGTCAAACCAATTACACCTTTAGCACTATGGGAGATATGTTATTTTTTCCCTGGTTGAAAGCTGCTAATTTTTCCATGTAGTAGTGGCAACTGGAACTTTAGCCGGCCATTGATGAATCAAATCTTGGCTGGTTCACTAGTGACTGACTAAAATTCAATCCATCCATAGGCAGGCTCTTTGTACTGATATTGATCCATCAATCGACTTCAGTATAATCAGCCTATTGGATTTCTTGCATGTGATCACTGCCAGCAGCTATAGCTCCCAGCAGTGATCACTGTGTTCTGTTGGCAAGAAAGGCTCCACGCCGAAAGAACACAATAGCACTGCAGAAGAGACTCGTCCCTCAACAATGACTGTGTTGATGGGGGAATAGAGTCATCTATGGTTTGCATAAGATTCAGGTCCCTGCGTGTGTTGTATGCCAGTTACAGGCCTGCATACTCTCAATTTTTTTTTTTCCAAATCTTTGTTTTTATCACAAGGCATCAATACAGAGAATGCAGAGCATAGGCATAAAAAAAAGTCCAATTAGGGGTATAATGAGAGAGTCCCATGTGCCAAAATAGTCACATCTTGGTTTAACAAAGTGCAAGTATAGTGTCCATCAGAGTGTTGAGATGCAAACGGAGAAAAGTAGTTTGCACACAAGAAGGGGGCTCTTTATTTTTAAAGCTTTTGGGAGATTTCATCTTGCTTCCTTTTCCTGTGACAGCAGGTCAAGAGATGAAAAGAAAGTGACTGGTTGTCACCAAGACATGCGGAAACAGGCTGTAAAAATAACCAACAGTTGTAACCTGACAGAGGTTCTAATCCTTTCAGATATATATTATTAAATGCTAAGCCTAAGGAAAAGAACAATAAATCCATATGTTTTGCAGGGAAAAAAATGTTAATTTTATAGATTTTTTTAATTTTTTTTCCCCCCACAAGAGTCTGCAAAACATTGCACCCACGATTAGTAAATGGCGGGTGCAATGGGCTTCTGCACACTTTCCCTCCAGTTTTCTACCTATACCTCCTGTACAGGCTTTCAGGCTGGAGGAAGTGCCAATGGACTACAAGTGCACTCATCAATGCACTCATAGGTTACAGGTTAAACAAGAATTTTTTTGTGACCCCATTGGAGTTTTTTACCAACAGGAAATGAGGGGAATCAATGACAACAGTAAAATCCTGACAGTGGTTTTATCCCTACCCCTGTTCAAAAGGCTTTTAACATTTATTTTTTTTGTTCTTATTGATTATGATTATTTCGAAAGATATTTTATATTTAAACTGTGTGTCACTGCTTAGAATTGCTGTTTTATAAGGAACTGCTAAATATCTTGAAGCACAGACCGGGGATTTGTGTCCTAATGCTTTCACTTAATTTATGTTGAAATGTTCCTCCCTGGAAATTTAGTTTGAGGCACAGGTTAAATGTCATTGTGTCCTTGATGCTTTCATGTCCAAGATGGGTACTTAGCAAACACTTCACACAGGCATTCTGTTTGTTTCCTCAGTTCAGTCATATTCAGGAAAAACGGATCGGTTTACATCAGTTTCTCATCAGTTTTTTACATCTTTTACCAATCTAAAAACGGACCGTGTTTTACAGCACAAAAATAGGGCTTTCTTCCATTAAAAAAAAAAAAAAAATGTTAATGAAGGCGGATGTAAACTGATGTAAACGGTAGATCATCCACTAGCCCGTAGAAATATATTGGTGTCAGTTTTTCATCCATAAACTGTCAGATGAAAAAGTTTATGGAACTCCCATGTGAAAGGGACCCTAGGAGGAGAAGCTTATGTCAAGTGCATTTCGACACTGCTTACAAAGGAAGACCCACCGGTGCATGGGAGATGACCGAGAGCTGATCTCCATTCAGATAAACACCACTTTATCCAGTTATCTATTCATAAAAAAATTACATTTGAAATACTGCTGGTAGAGTAATGTAAAATCTGTCATATTAGTTTCCCATAATGTCATCAACATTAGAACACAGACTTTGAAAGGGACAGCCATAACTGTGAGCCAGTTGGCCTCTGTTGGCTTGTAATTCATATTTGTAAAACATGCTTGAGGGGATAAGCACAGGGATTTTATCAGTGTGCCCTCTCATCATCCAGTCAACAGCAGGTAACCAATATTTATTGACAATCTGTAATAGTGAAAAGTGAGGTCACCCACCTGTTTGTGCAGTGTATTTGGTGGTATGTTAATCACGAGTGTGACTGAGCAGAATTAGAAAACATTTGGGAGCTAAACAGTTTTCTGTCATTTAATCCTCTGTACCCATGACTTTTCAAGCAGAGACACTGTAGATGATTTGCTAAAACTGGAGAGTGCAAAATCTGGTGCAGTTCTGCATGGTAGCCAATCAGCTTCTAACTTCAGCTTGTTCTATTAAGCTTTGACACAAAAGCTTGAAAGCTGATTGGTTTCTATGCAGAATTGTACCAGATTTTGCACTCCTCTGGTTTTAGTAAATCAACCCCATTACCTTGTAAAAATAATATAATCATTGTACTGTATATATCCTTAGCAGAGCTGTGGGAGGGACCTAGAGAGTCCACCAACTACAGGCTGCCTTCTTAAAACTGTAGAAGGGGGCAGAGACGAGACCAATCACCCAGCACAAGAAAAGCGAGCGCAGCAGTGACTGGTCTTTTTAATACAAGAAGTTCCCACAAAAAGGAAAAGTTTCATTCTGGAATACTCACAGATCTGAAAGAAATCTACAAAGCACACCAAGATTTACGTAAAAAACACACATGACCCTTTTATATTTGGACATATTTGCTTGGTTCATTTGTAACTGTACAACAGCTTGGCTGATTTCACAATTTGTAATTGGTCCGAAACCCCTTTAGTAACCCTTTTTTCCTCTTTTTCAGGTCTTTTCCTTATACTTGGCCTAATTCTGTACCCTGCTGGTTGGGGTGCCCAGAAGGTTGTTGGTTACTGTGGACATTATGCCTCAGCGTACAAGCTTGGAGAATGCTCCTTGGGCTGGGCTTTCTATACAGCCATCGGTGGAACCGTCCTCACCTTCATCTGTGCCGTCTTCTCTGCACAGGCTGAAATTGCCACCTCCAGTGATAAAGTTCAGGAAGAAATAGAAGAAGGAAAGAATCTCATCTGCTTACTTTAACAAGCAGTGATGTACTGCTCTTGCAAAGACTTCATAAAGGGATCAACTTGTTTACATGGCCCACAGCGCACATTCGTGAACTGATAATGTTCATAATAATGCCATGCTGCCTTTTCCTGTGTGAGAAGATTGTTAGTGGGACCTAAAGACAAGATGGTGGTGCACAACACACAAAGTGCAGCCATATTGACCTTTTGTACAGTACTTGCCTAATAGAAGTATTCCCAGTTCTACAAGTCACTTTAAAATGGATTTCTCTCTTCCCATAGCATAAGGACAACATTGTATTTCTGTCTGTTGTTTTGTCCACTTTTTAATTTCTTATGTGTGCTATGTCTGGGAGTGTGTGAATTTATAATTTCCTGTTGCCACTGCTAATCTCTGCATACCACTACTATTGATTGAACATGTCGGGTAACTGGAAATTCTGTGCTTGTGTTCTGTCATGTGGTTCATTATGTGGTGCCAATGAATGTCTAGAAACATGTAGAAATTTTAGGTTTGGAAAGAACCACTGCAGTAAATATGGAAGGAATCACTTGTACACAGTCATTCCAACAGGGCCTCAGCCAGATTTATTTAGTGCATAGTCTTGACTGATATACTCAAGATACCAGTGTGCAAGCGCATAACCTCATTCCATAAGAGAGCCAAAGAGGCCGCATGTGCCTTTTAAAGTGTACCTGTTAGCTGCATACAGATAACAACCCTTTTGTGTGCTGAGATTTCAGCTTCTCTCCAAATAAAGGGTCCCATTTAACAGAGTCTGGAATAAAATCTTTTGTTTGCCGGATAACAAGCAATTTGCTTTTCTCTTTTTTTAATAAGATTAGACAGTGATGTTCTGGCTGCTGTTGACAATGTAGATTCTTTTTCTGCCAAACAATATAAAAAATCCAATTTTATGTCAAAACTGTTAAATTGAACCTGTAAGGCCCCTTTCACACGAAGGGTGTGTGAAAAACTGACAGGTGGACCTGATCAGACCCTCCATTCAGACCTATGGACCGGCGGGTGTAAATGGACACAATCCAATCTGAACATGGAAGGGGATCTGTCTAGGCAGATTGAAGGGAAGTCGAGTGTAAACAGACAGCAGAGTACCATTTAGACCTGCTGGTCCATAAATCGGAGCAGGCTAGGTCCGTATCCATCCTGCATAAACTGAGTGGAAACGGACCTGTCAAATGCCCGCTCTGCTCAGATCAGCAGGGGATCTGCAGACAGATCCCCTACTGATCTGAGTCCACCCTGTGTGAAAGGGGCCTTATTAATTTCAGACTTTTGTAAAGTCCTGCCTAAGCACAAATACCACAATACCTGATGTTATATTCACTAGCCAGTAGAACATATTTTTGTGCCTCATTCTGATGTTATTTTTTTTCTTACCTTAACATATCTGTAACTTTATGGCTAAAACCTACAAACTGCCATTTTATTGTCCCATAAGATTGCCTCAGTGGCTGATAAGGGCATTTTTATTGGTCAGGGCATATCAACTGATGAAAATCAAACATGAAGTCAGACTTTGGTAACAAAGTATACTGAAATGCAGAGGAGTGCTAATATAGGTGAACACATGCAATTTGGCATTTCGACAAATTTTTACTTTTAAATGTTTAAATTGAAATATAGGTTGACTTTAGTGGATTGTCTAGGGTTTTATGGTGGATATTGATTCAGTGAACAAAATGTCAACCAAAATTGAAGCTACAATACGTCATCCTTTTTATGCCATTAACATTTATATGTACATTTACAAAATTGGTTAATTAGTCTAGGATAACTTAGACTTTCTGATGAAGGCACAATCTAGAGCAGCCATTCTTACCCAAGTTTCTGTGAAAACTGAGGGTTCCTCAAGAGATAGCTAGGGCTTCCTTGAGCAATAAGCAGTGATGAGTTGACTTCCCACCTGATGGTGCCTGTATAGTTGAGCCCAACGTCACTGAGCATGGTCAGTGGCCTAAGACCAGTGGATCTTCTGCTTTTTGCTCTCCGATAAGTAACAACTGAAACAAAATAGAATTGTTTCTGTCTCTAAGGGAGGCATTTTTCCCAATGACTGCCAATGTAAGGAAACATTGTTCCAACATATGATGATGCTAACCTGTGAGATGTAGGTGTATTATTTATGATGGGAGTTTCCCAAAGTATAAAAACCATCTCAAGGGTTCGTCCGCGATAAAGAGGTTTGAGAAAGTCTGATCTTTAGATTTTTGTGAATTATACCTGGTTGGTACCTTAATTAGACACTCTATCAGAGATTTCTGTATTGTCACCATTAGAAAAACAGTTGCCCAGGGTCACAAACTTTTTTTAAAAGCAACTTGCTTACACACAGTGCAGTTACTTGCCATCACCAACATATGGTTCCACCAAGTAAGTGAACTGTGAGCCTGTAGAGGCTGCTGATAGTGTGGCTGGGAGTAGAGCGGGAAGAGGCTGTTGCTTTACATTTATTGGTTAGTACTTTGTTCTCAGCAAGGAATACATCACATATGCATTGGTTCCTGTGGCAGATAGTTTGAGGAGTCCAAGCAGTGGCAAGTGGTACTTTGAGGACAAGTATAGATGCTAAAGTAACAGAGCGGTACTCTCTTCTTTGTTTATCCAGCCTGCATGGTCCGCTGTCCCACCTCAGGCCTTAACAGTAATGGTATGTGGTGCTATCTGGGGGTGCACTGGCACTGGCGCTTATCTGATGCTGTGGAAAACTAAGATTTAACATTCAAGCATGCAAAGACACAAATGAATGTATATAAAATTTAAGCTTTGTCAATAGAACAATGTGGACACTTAGGGGGCACACAGTAATTCATTGCTATGTTTGCTTCCGGGGTCCTTTAAAAGCACAAGTTGTGCTTATTTACGCCATTCTGGACCAAATATTTGGTGCTCAGTATTTACAGTGGTTCTGTTATTCTCACTTCACTTTAATGGCCTTGGTCTTAGGGGGGTTTATATATAATGTATCTTTGTGGGGTTTTTTTTTTTCTTTTCTTTTTAGACCTGGTAATAGTAAAATGTAATTCTGATCTTTCCATGTTAGTCTTTTGTCATTGATGTGAATAGTGATCTTTTGTCTGGCACTGTTGTTTCCTGCAGGCAGTTATTATGACTGTCAGTATTATCCTTTTGTACAGATAAAGGATCATAATCATGCTTATCAGTGGATATCTGAGAAGGGCGTAGAGAAAAGCAGGGCCTCTACTACTTTTTCAGTTTTTGGCCAGCAGCAGTGGGCAGTCCGGATCATCGACTATAGAACATGGGAACCTTCTACAAGGCTTTGTACACGAGATACAGCAAGGATGTCTGCCTCTGATCTATGGGCTGACATCACTGCACCTTGAGTCCAGTTTAGAAGTTGTTTAAAGCATAGGTCCAGGCAAAATAGCATGCACATGCACATTTCGCCATGTAATATCAATTTTAAAGACCCTGCAAATACAGAAAAAATACTAGTTCATAGTCTCACGGCCTGTTGTGGACTGACAGCATTCCATTTGTCCTTTACTAAACTACTCAACCATTCCCACTCTGAGAACTCTCCAACATTAAAGGCAAATTTGTCTTTATTAGATTTTGCATCAAATCAAACAGTACATAGCAGGAAAATGACAAGAATATCAACAACGGAATGGGCGAGAATAAACAATATAGGAATTAGTATGATCCATGGGGATGGAGGAATACGAATCCAAATATAGCTATAAAGGAGGCATCCTCAAACAACTCTCCAACATTAAGGCTGATCATGCTGTAGTCCAAGATAAGAATTGAGACAACACAAAGTGTAAAGGGACAACTGTGAATTTATGACAAGCGTATCTTTTTTTGGTCTTCTCAAACAGACATAACAAAATGCTTCCAATGGTTTAGTTAACAGACTACTAGAGAGCAAATAAGAGCCCATTGTTAGGATTTACATATTTCTTAACCTCAGGCGCACATTGACTTTGTTCCACTCGTTAAATAAGTTTACAATTTTGTATTGACATAAATGTTGGTGTCCTGTGATGACAACACAAGTCAGTGTGCAGTGCGGGCGGTGACCAGCACTACCTCAGTGATTGTTAAGCCGGTCGTACATGAATCAAAATATGGCCAGTTCAGGAGAGCCCAGACGAATTTCAATCCATGTATGGGCTAGCTGGTTGTACACAAGACGATCTATCCATAGACTTGTGTACAACCAGCCTTTCGGGTTTTCTGAAAGATCTGTTCTGCTGGCTATAGCTGGCAACACTGATCATTGTATTCTGACTGCGGGGAAGGCTTACTGCTATAAGAAAACAATAGTGCAGCGGGAGTGATGTCCCCCATCCACCTTGAATGTGTGGATGGGGGAGTCACCTCAATTTTCTTCATTCAACCCGCTGGTTGAATGAATCTTGTAGGACCAGCTTTTGCTCAGCGTGGACCTGCCATGTGGATATGTTGAGCACATTGTCCTTCTTGTGTGCACACTGCCTAGACATTTCTTTCTGTGAGCCTTATTTATCAGGTTATAAGGTGGGTGTGTGGTCCATCTGTCTTGCACAGCAGAAATTCTGAAAGAATAACTGGTTTAAAAGCATATGTGAATAGATATTTATGGCCAATGACTCCACTTTTCATGAATGAGACTTTTTGCCTGTTCTCCTTGAGAAATACAGTAAAGGAAAGAGATGAAATATTCTTGCCTGCATAGCAGAGTTGCTAAGTGTACTTATTAGGGTATACCTTATTTTCACTGATATTCTGTCATCTTCTTGCCCTGTTTTCCTCCAACTCCAGTCCCCAAATAAAATATGAATCAGCTGTGGAGTCTTGGGGTCTGTCTCCACTTTTGCCTTTTGACTGAGCTGAACCCCATAAAAACATGGGGAATGTTCTGCACCATTTTAGGAAACCTATAATGATTTTGTATATATTTTATTTATTAAGATCAGGGCTAAATTTTTATAAAAATTTTTTTAGTTAAGCAATTCTAAAATCTTGCACATTGTTTTGCA